CGAACCTGTATATAATCCTTGTCTCTGTCTCTTTTACCTCAATCTCGCATATACCCTGGTAGGCTAGTACCGACGATCCCCATATCATGCAAATACCTTAGTCGAGATCTCAAACATCGACAGTGGTGCGCCAGGTAGGGGAATTTTGGTGCTTCAAGGTTTCAACGAGATGGGTTCAAGAGGTGGATTCTCCGACAACCTCTGTAAGTGTTTGTATATGCAATATTTGTCCATTAATCCTATTTTCTTATATCACCCTGTCTTGAAGTCGATCCTATCGTTCCTTTACGCTACTCTCAATGCGTATTAACCAAGCTGCATAAATCGGGAATTGGTTTTCCCAACTTCATGGCTAGGGCCTAGGATTTCGTCAGCTTCTATTGACACGAAAAACACGCACTGGCCTGAGAGATCTGCTTAACTATAGTGCAGGTCCAAAGAAATTGCCTTCAGGTTCTGAGCATGCCAGCTGGTTTGATCCTGCAACCAACAAGATAGAAAAAAGACAAAGAGTTAAATCCATCAACGGTAGCCAATCGGTAGGATTGCCGATGACGTATCATCCGAGGCCATGCCGATGTAACTTGCGTCAGATCGGCAGAGGCAGATTAAACTTGGAGATTGTTGGGTGTACTTGATCGACTGTAGATGTTAACGATACGTAATCCAATCCAATGGGACACGCTTAGATCGAGTGATTGGGATAGATCAGTCGCTGCACCGAGACAGTATAAATCACTCCATATCTAAATGTGCCCCAAAGTAGGGATTATGCATGCTCGCAGCATAGCCGATGGGGCGAACCTAACTTGTATCGGCTAATACTCTAACACCACCTTATACCAAGATATTAGCACAGATGAAATATACAAAACTGAAACCAATCTAGCAAGCAGGATGAACTAGCAGACTGATAGGAAGCTTAATATACTTTAAATGGATGAGATCTTGATATAAGGGGCAGATTTAGATGATCCAGAACCAAATAAGAAAACAAGACGACTAAATCAAGTGAGATCGGCTGAAACTCCGATGCTATCTCTATTAGCAATCAAAGAGAGGGCTAGATAAAGCGTTTCAAGACAGTACTTAACAGATCGAACCTAACCGATCCAGCATTAAGCATGAAAAGAAACATAAGATCTAATCAAATCGATGAAAACTCATTCAAGATGGTAGATACACCGCATAGTCTAGCTTGATATCGAAATCTAAACCTGCCAGCTGTTTTCGATGATAGAGACTAGCCGATAAAGCTTAGATAACAAGGCCAATCTAGATTATGCGGTATATATGATAACTCGGTGGTTTACATTGACAGGATTAGAGTGCCATGAAGATGTAAGCACTAATCCCGAGAACGCAAACCGCCATTGAAAGTTCAAGCGCCATTAATTTGGTTTTGGTGATTAATGACAAATTCAATCACATGAGACTAATATTGTTATAAGCATTTCTTTGTCTACTAGTCTCATATGGATATGAAAGTGGAATATGTGAGATGTGATTTTCGGACTTCATATGAGTTGAGAGAGAAACATTCATTGATGGTTTACCTAAATCACAAGGATGAAATGCATGGAGATCAAGCTATATGTATCACTCTTTCTCTCCGTGCACATATTGATATATTCATATATAATATTTTCATGTGATTACATAAACATGTGAGACTAATATTTTGTTTGAGCCATGTCTTGTTTAGTCTCTTTACATTGAGAACATGTAGATGATGAAGGTATGCTTTTATTTTAATGTCTATATTTGAGAAATACCTTCTATTCTTATATAGGATAAGCTCTCAATGTTTTATATCTTGTTATGCATACTCTTACTTCACACAAATATTTTGTATGCATACATTTAGGGGGAGCAAATCCTATACTTTAGTTATGCACGTAATCGATCCAAGTTATTCACTTTCATTTAATTGGGATCTTTACATTTGAGCATACATTCAAGTATATGACACTTGTGGTGTTGATTAGTACTCAACATTTATTCATATCCTTTTATATACGCGATCGGTTGGTCAACATGTGGAGGTTGACATCCGGATCATTGGGACTAATAATTTTATTGAGTTGAATGAGAGAAATAGGTCCCAAGGATTGCAAAGGTGTTGATGTTCAAGTGATATCATTACACCTAACGATACCAAGAATGACAAAGTGAAAAATGTTGAAGATGTGGGATACGAAGTGGCTACTATGGCAAAACGGTGAAGGGCAAGCGATGCTCGGTCACGATGGACCATGCGGCGGTAAAGGGCAAGCAAGGGGCTTGGCACCGAATAACCAAATCCGGTGGTGAAGGGCCAGTGACGGCTTTGTCATGATGGATCGTACGAGACCATTTGAAGCTACAAGTAACCACATCAATCATTTGAAGAATATATGGTGAAACGGTGTAGACATTGGCGTCCCTTAAGACAATGAAAGAAAGATGGAAAGAAGGCATTCCTATTGGTATAATTCTCTTCCTATTTACATTTGAGTTTAGGAATGCCGTACTATTAAGAGAGATGCAACGTCGAGGTGTTTGTGTATGTCTCGGTGCTCAAAGTGACCTATCATAGTGCTACCTTGAGAGAAACCCAAGCTTTAACCTATCCTTTGAGTGGTTGTAGACCTTGGTTTTGGTTGAGTTGGGTAGTCCTCTCAGTGAGCTTTCCATAGAGTCCAAGTTCATCAAAAACGGACTCCCGAGCGAAAAGTTATATCTGTTTTTCTCTGTGTTTTTCGGAAATTCCGAAAAAGGATGCGAAACTGAGATTTGCTTCAGTAGATTTTCGGACTTGTCCGAAAATGCTTTTCGGAAAATCCGAAATTTACAGTTTTGGCCTTCAACGACTAGTTTTTATGAGGCTCGGGTATATAAACTCCTCGACCCCTCCTTTGAGTGGCTGTTGTTCCTGGGCAACATTAGACACATCCAAAGCCAAATAGCCATCCCTATTTCCCTACCTTTGTGGTGCCTTTTGTGAAGGGGATTTGAGAAGAGAAGAGAGTTGGATTGAGAGAGTGAGGAGTTGAGAGCTAGCGAGCTTCACTCCATCCTTTGTGGTGCCTCTTTGTGAGAGGGATTTGAGAAGGGGAAAGAGTTGGATTGAGAGATTGGGAAGTTGAGAGCTAGTGAGCTTCACTCCATACTTTGAGCACTCTAGTTCATAGCAAGCAAATCTTCGATTGTGTTTGTTACTCTTGGGGACTAAGGTCTCCTAGATGGTCAGGCGTCGCCGGTGAGCACCCAAGGTTGTGGTGTGCCACGGAAAGTTTGTGAAGGCTTTGATTTCGCCTCCACAAGGGAAGAAATCAAGAGTGAAACCGAGGAGTGCATTTGTGCAACCTCGTGAGGAAAGGGTTGAAATAGACCCGGCCTTGTGGCCCCTCAACGGAGACGTAGGATCCGTGGATCCGAACTTCGGGAAACAAATCAACGTGTCTCCTCTCTTGGTTTGCTCATTCTTGCCTTCTCTCATATTGTGCTTGAGCTTGTTTTTACCCGATCTACTTGCATGCTTAATTGATTTAGTTGGTGACCTTATATCTTGCTTAGATACCTTATTTGTCACCTTTTGATTCATATACATTTTGTTTATTCAAGCTACAAGTTCATAGCTAGTGTTTTATCCCGTTATCTGCCGAACCTTTCGGTTGAGATCGGAACTTCCAATCCTATACCGGAAGTTCCGATTTGAATCAAAAGTTCTCATCACTCTAATATGCTATGAAGTTGTGATAATTTTAGGAACGCCTATTCACCCGCCCTCTAGGCGACATCAAGGTCCTTTCAGCCATAACAAGCTTTACCTCTTCGTCGAAGATCGTACCCGATGCAGCTCAACTCGAAAGCAAAAAAACTCATCGAAACAATGAAAATAGAAAAGGGTGGCAATGCACCGAAGTATTATTGAACTATCGTCCTTTGATTACATGGTGTCGGGTCATATTTATACCCGAAGTACATAACATGTACTTGCTGGACACGACTCTTATCTCTAAGACAATTTAAAATGAGTCCTTCAGGGGGACTCTTACCAAACATATCTCTAAGGAAACTGGAAAATGTCCTAGTTAATAGATACAATTGTCCTTTTTAGGACTCCAGTCCTTGTGTGGCAATGGCTATGAAGTGCTGCGACCAATCCCGACGACGAACGTGTGACCATCTTTCCCGAGACAGGTTGCATCGGCTTGACTCTGTCGGATCCGGCGCTTAGCCGATATGTGGCAGGCGATGCTGCTTGTAACCGATGCGTATTCTTTCTCGAACGGAATTTCTCCAACTCAGTCTTGACTCTAGCTTTGAATCCATGATGTGGTATTACCAAATTTGTTCGTTAACAACTTCAGCTTGGTTTGTTATAAGATTTAAGCTGTCTTTGTGGAAAAACGATTTTTCCATAAAGATAGCTGGGGGCTAGGAAGAGTACCAGACTCCAATTGCTAAGGGCAGCTTTAGCGAGAGTACTCTTTTCTTGTCATGTGCATATTCAATTTATTTTCATATTATATCGTGTTACCCTAGGGCGTTCTGTCACGTCCTGATAAATTCACCCCGAAATAAAAATCATTCTCTAAAAGGAATAATAGAATTAATTAAAATTCGAAAAGAAATTGGCAAACACTAAAATACACGTACAAGAAAAATCCGAATGTGGCCCAGAGAATTTTTGTTAAATTCTCCTTGGCCTAAAAGAAGCCCTCAAATTTTACTTGAATTTTCAGAACGCTGTAAATAATTATTAAGCAACAACAACCTTTATCAAAGTTTATTAAAAAGAACTAAAAATCATCCTCCTCCCTCCTTTGAGCCAAGTCTGACCCAAAGTCCCTCTCCTCTCCCTCTATTTTCCTCCCTTCTCCCTCCTTTCCTTCCCGGCCCACTCCCTCCTCTCCTCCTCCCGCCTGGGCCTGCCCCGGCCCAAGCCGAGCCGCAGCTCTCCCGCGCGCCGCACGCGCGTTGACTGCGACCCACGCGGGTCCCACCCACCCGGTCGTCTCCTTCCTCCCGCACGGCCTCCTCTCTCTCTCTCCCGAAAACCCTAGTTGCTTTCCTCCCTCAAATCCACACGATTCAAACATGGGATTCCAAAATTAATTAGGGAGAATTAATCCCCTTTCCTTCCTCTTCAATTGCGCCTAAGGCCTCGTTCGGATAGAGCCCGGCCTTTTCCCTCCAATCCCTAGGGATATTGGTCCACCACCCAGACCAGTGGAAATCCACCACTCGCCGCCGCCTCGCTTCTCTCGTCGCGTGCCGACGCCTCCTCCTCTCGTCGCGCGTCGCGGCGCCGCCGCCGCCTCCGTCTTCTCTCCCCGAGCGGCGCCCACGCCGCCTCTCCTCTCGTCGCGCACCGCGGCGTCGGCACCTCCCCTGCCGCATCGCATCCCTCGCGCGCGCCGCCTTCCTTCCTCCCCAGTGTCGGCGTTGCTTCCCTTTCTTCCCCGGTGCCGGCGCCTCCTCCCTTCCTCCCCGCTGTACATGCTGGACAGAGTGAAGCAGTCTTCTCCAAGCCCAGATCCACGACATCAGCCATCAGGTACACCCCTTGCTCTTCTCCTCACCGCATCTGTTCATATTGATGTGCATATTGATTTTCTTGATTCAGAGCGTTTCACTATTCAGATCGATTCATATTGATTTTCTAGTTTCATATATGTACATGGATCTGCTGTTAGAGCTGCTGCATATATACACTTTTTAATCAACTAACAGTTAAGATCTTAAAAGTCTGGTCAAAGAAAAAGAAATTCTCAAAATTGGTAGATACCATAAAATTGGTTGTTAGTTCAGTGTTTCACTAACAATGAGATGTTATTATAAATGAAAAGTTAATTTTAATCATAACTCGAATTTTTAGAAGTGTGTAAATAAAGAAACCATGCGAAGTTTTATTATCTAAGTGTTGCATTTCAAGTCTGAAAATAAGTTGGAGATAGGTTTAAATTCATTATTCTCACTTTTGTTTTTCATCATCTTAGACTAAATGTCTTTGTTTTCATGAAACTGGAAACTCAAAAAAGATTTACTATTATAACATCTTGCTTGTTCAAGCAGTTCTTTGTTGGTTTGGTTTCTCCCTGCCGGTCTCGTCTTCTTACGTGTTCTTCTCTTCTGTCCAGTTGAAGCAGTTCGGGGGACTCAAAGGCCGGAGGGCTTGTTCGCCAACCTAGCTCACTGAGCTGCCAAGCTCGCTTGTATTGGTAAGGTGGTTGCTTCTCTTCCTCCTTTGTTCCTCGTGCATCTGCTACTGCTTCTAGTTTTGATTCCATTCACCAAGTAGTATGTGTGTAGTATTGGTCAGCTAAGGTCATAATTTATAGTGATTGCTTCTAGTTGAACTGCAGTATGGCACACAATAAGATCAAGTTTATTTGCATTCTTTGCCATTGGTATAACATATTACAACTTACCTAAAGATTGCTTTCTATAAGGTCCAATTGAGTTAGCGATGTTAGAAACAATCATTAAAGAACTTGTTTTTGTGAGTAATTTCATATTTTAGAGCTATATTTTACTCAAGTCACATTCCAAAGAGGAAGCATGTTTGAGTGAGGCCATATCCTGTTCGAAATTTTATATGTGTAGGAATAGATTTTTCTCTATATGTGCTGCTAAACATCCAAATGAAGACTGATTGACTTTGTTTTCATAATAATGGAAGCTCAAAAAATGTTTGGTGCTGAGACCTTATTACCCTTAACATGAATAAATGAATTAGTGATGCTGATATTTAATGAGGAAATCATTTTTTTAAAAAAAGTCCTTATTGACCCAACCATGATGTGAGTATAGTATGCATGAACAGTACACTTTTTTTCCTCTTGTGTGTAGTTAAAAAAAAAGGGTTCAAGGGCTATTCGAATGAGGAAGCGGGAGGAAGAGGATGACGATATGATTCTTTTCCTTTTCCCTGCTCTGCATCTTTTCTACTAAACACAAGTACTGCTCAGGTTATGAACTTTGCAATGAGCTAATTGTCAAGGAGCAATCATTTTAAGCATGCAAAAAGTACCTTTTAGAAGTGTATAAATGGACAGATAATGTTGCATGATGAGTCCCCCTAATAATATTTTTGACGTTTGATTCAGTTTCCTTTACAGTCCCTGTACCTGCTACTTTGTGTTGCCCAGACTTTTTTCAGTGAAGAAGTTAATGGTTGCGCCAATGTATCTCAACTATGTGAAATAAAGATAATTGCATCTTTAGCATATGAAATTGTCCTGTTTCTTCATGATATTGTTGGTTTGAAAAAGAAAATAAAGTGGGGTAAGATTGTCATGTTTTTTCATGATATTGTTGGCTCCCAGTTAGTACTTGGTACTCCTAGTATCCTAAATCCAGAAATAGATCAGGTGCATGTTTCTCTGAAGGATCTGTTGAATTGTCTTGTGGCATGTAGTTAGTTAATTTGATTAAGGTGAATATGCTACTATGGTACTAATAAGAATTAATTATGTCTGATTCATGTGGATAGTCTCTAAGTTATTAAATAAAATTGTAGAGGAATTACTTACAATCAAAAGTTAGATTAGATGGGGCTGGTCATGGGCTGAAGATTTGATGAAATGTTCCTTCTGTGATTATGAACATGTATGCAGTTAGCTAATTATTAATGAACAGTTAGCTGAATTTTTAGAAGTGTATTTACAGGTGCCTGTCAGGCTTTTGACACAAATAATTATACTGACTTTGACATATTGTTTTGGTGTGCAGTTTTCTGATATGTGATGTCCACGGGCCTTTTGTTTGCTGCACCAATGATGCAAGGAAATGTATTATGATGTATGTCGGAAAGTGTTGTTACTAGATAGAACTATTAAGGCAATGAAGCTCAAGTTATGTCTTGTTTTCCCCTCAAAAAAAAAGTTATGTCTTGTTCGATTTAATACTTGTAACACTGAGAGATATTTGTGTCCTAAATCTCAACGTGTATTGGTTCTTCATGTTGGTTGCCTTTTTTTTTTTTGCAATATTGTAACAATTACGACATGGATTTTGCAGCAGGTCTTCAGTATTTCTTTAATTTTCTACAATTTTCGTAATTTTCTAGGCATTTATATATCTTTTTTCTGTATTTTCCTGAAAAATTAGATTTTGTTTGTGCAGTATTTCGAATTATGTGCATAATATTTTGAAATTTCTGGAGTGAGACTATTAAATTGATATGATATCTCACCACTCACTATTATTTACCACACCAATATACTTAGATCCCATGGGTTGAGGGGATTATATCCCATGGTGGAGTGGATTGACGTGGGAATTGGGTGGTGGGAGGGGATCCACCCAATCCCTGCCGCCTAGTGGTATTTTCCCTGGGGAAAAACCACCCCAACTACCGAACAAGCCCTTAATTATCCCTTGATTCGTGCTCTTATTCACCCGGAACGGCCTAGCCATTCACGGCTGCCATTTCCGCCGCCGTTCCATGCCTCTCCCGTGGCCGGCTCCCTCCCCGCGCTTATAAAATGGAGCCCCCTCGTTCCATTCTCGTGTTTTTGCCTCCTCCCGAGTCTCCCGTGGCCGCCCCGCCCTCTCCCTCCTCGCCTATGCGCCGTCCGGCCGCGTCGTCACCGCCCTCGCCCTCGCAGGTGTATCCTCTTCCCCGGCGTCGCTTCCGTTCCGCGTGGAGACCACCGGAGGTACATCCTCGCCGGCAAACAGTGGCGTTGCCGCGACTCCACCGCCTCCAGTCGCCGCGCCAGAGCGCCGGTCGACGTGGCTGTCTCCTCCTTTGGCATCGCAGCGGCAAGGTCGCCCTCGACCTCGCCTCCCCTCCTCCCGATCCCCACCGGTCTTCGTCGTCGTCATCGTCCTCCTCGTCATCGTCTCCGTCCGACGTCGCCATCCCCTCCTCCGGTTGGCCGTTCATCCTCGCCGGCTCGTCGTCTCGCTGCGCCGCCTCCGTCGTCGGCCTCGCAGCGGCGTGTTCCACGCCGTCCTCGCCTCCGTGTAGCAGCTGCCGGCTGCCCTCGTCGCCTCCTCGCCGGCCCCGGTAGTCGTCGTCCTCTCATCGTTTCGTCAAGTGTGCTGCAGCCCCGTCGTCATCTTCATCGTCGGGTCCGCGTCGTCAAGCCCTGCGCCGGCCGTGTCTCGCCTTCGTCCAAGGGTCGCCGCCGAAGTCATCCCCTCGCCGTTCGTCTCCGTCATTCCCGTCCGCCTCCGCTGTGCCCGTTCGCCGTCGTCGTTCCCACGCCTCGTCGCGTGGTGGTAAGGATCCCTCTTCTCGCTGCCCCGTCCTCGTTCTTTCGGTGTCGCCCCGTGCCCGTTGTGCGGTTGTCGACCCCGATACCCGTGTACCGGTGTCGGTAGTCGTTCGTGTGTGCGTGTGGTGACCGTGTTGGTGTGCCCGCTCGGTAGCCACGTGGTTTCCACGTGTGCAGCCCGCGTGGTGTCTAGTGGAGTCCGTTTGTCGGCCACTTGCCTCGGTTGACACATGGGGTCCGCTTCCGTCGACCCGTGGACCGTCTCTGTGTACTCGGTCTACCGTGGTCCTTTAGGTTGACATGTGGGGTCCGCATGTCAACAGCGCATCCTTCATGTCTTTTCCATGCTAGCGCTTACACATGTTTTATAGTTGCAAAACCTAATTACAATAATCCGTAAATCTCCATGTAATAGCATTAAACTTCGGATTACCATTTCTTGGTCATACGAATTCCGAATCGACCCGTTCAAGTCTCTTAGTGTTTGTTATAACCTAAAGAACCCTGTGTTTTCTTTTTATGTATTGTTATTGCTTCTTTTTAGGCTTGTAGCTTTGCTTGTGTGCTTCGCGTAGCTTTCGTCGTTCCGGAGGTTCCCGAAGCGTGGTTCGCTGTCGTCGCCGAAGGTTCGGAAGGACGTTCTCTCTGAGCAAAGCAAGTCACATCATCCTTGAGCATATTGAATCCCAATTTATAAAATTAATTATTTTGATTTAAATTTTTGCATTATCGCTTTATTTAAATCCCTGCATTATCACTGTTTTATTTAGCAATACCTATTAATCTTTGTTATAGCCTTATTATTGCTATTGTTTATTATCACCTTGCTTACCCTAAGAAAACAAAACCCCAACTAGTGGGTACTCTATTAATGGTTCCACTAGTATGAACTTAACTAGATGCTTCGCTGATTAATTAGGCAATACTAGGTGGTTTTTTAACTTTAGACTTTGGGAGCTCTCATATCATTTGGACATTATGGAATGGTTGGCTTGTGATGGAATTGAACACACACCTCCCCCCTCTATTCAAAACTCCCAAAATGGTTTTAGGCTGGGCTCAAGGTGCATGGTTTTGCTAGGAGCACCTCGGCCACCATAAGGACCAGTCTTCGGGCCTCTGTTGCAAAGCACTACCGTACTAACCACATGTCTAATGGGTAAGGCTTAACTCGGTGCTCAGTCTAGTCCTGGCAAGAGGACACGGATAGATATGGACGAAGTTGGGGCTCGATGGACATCTCTAGGGCAAATGAAGGCTATACGGGCTACGGCTCGGTAGTCGAGATGTCATGGCACAGGGCCGGTGTTCTGCTGCTAGGGGCTCAATCCTGCCTACCTGTCCCGGGATTCCAGCCGTAGGCGGGGTTGGGTCAGTACTTTTGTCACGGCTAGGATGGGTAAAGGGGTTATGTCACATGTTTATGACGGGTTCCACGGCCTTGGAATGTGAAGTAAAGATGTGTCTTGTGGGTAAAGATGTACACCTCTGATCAGAGTATAATCTATTCGAATAGCCACGCCCTCGGTTATGGGCAAGCCTAGCAATATACCCAAGTTAGTGGTTTAATTCTTAAAACTTGCTTAACAACTAAAATGTGGAATGGTTGGCCTGGGTTGGCTTGGGACGAACTGAGACCTGGGTATGGTTGCCAGTTTGGTCTGAATCATCATAGGCCTTGGGTTAAGGCAGGTTCGTGTGGGTTCACGGCCTTGATTAATAATATTGTGTAGCCCTAGGATCATACTTTTGAAATAGCTTTGAGCAACTAAGTGTCTTTTAAATGCTGTTTACTGCAAAATCTAACCCCTATATTATCACCCCCTTGTACCCCCTTGCATTTTGTCTAAAGAAAGTTGCCTATTAGTAAGCAGTCTTCCCTCTTTCATAAGGCTCTAACTTGCGTAAGGAATCAAGGAGCTACAGTTGTTTCTTGCCCCTTTTGTATTTTTCTGAACACAAGTTCACCGCATCGCGCCTCGTGCACCTTCAATTTCACCATTGGACCATTCTCAAATGCCATCTACATTTATCCCCAATCCTCCTTCATGATTCGTCTCCTCAACCATCTGTAGGCAGTCGATCGCCTTTACTTGCCTTCGATTCTTCTGGACCGCCGGACAGGTCAGTCAACCCTTGAGCTGTACTGAGGGGTTGGACTGGAAAGCATACTTTATGTGATTCCTCCTTCCCCATTGTCCTCTCCTACCCGCCTTTCCCACATCCATCAAAGGGATGGCAATTCTATGTGATTCGCTACACTTGCTGGCGCTCCACCCCATAAGCTAACTCTATTGCCTAGCGGTTAGCGACACTTTTCCGGTAGTACAAATCACTACACTTCGCTTCTTTTTCTTTCTATATGATAATATGCACCGTCGGTTGCTGCGCACCCTGCGGGTAATAGCAAGAGAGTGAAGAACGAACGATCCTCAGTCAGCAGTGAATGAGTCCGACTCGAGTTCGTGAGTCAAAGGCGTGGCAAGAGAGCGAGTTCGACTCGCGAACGACCCGCAAGTGAAGGACCGATCCTTTAACGCCAGTACTGTTGCGAGACTGGTACTTGGGGGCTCACGAGCAACATATAGACTAAGGTTGCCCATCACTCCCTCGCTCCTTTTTGAAGGCCCACCGCTCCCCCTTTCTTGCATCTATCCCGGCTTGCATTTTGGGGCGAGTACTACAGTTCCTCCATAATCACACAGAACGCCCAGCTTCGCAGAGCTGCTCTCTCCCCAGTCCACAGCAAGGTGTGGAATCTGGATCTACAGTGTGTTCTGACCCTATTGGATCAAGTCAGATACTAAGCCTTCTACTACTACTTAGGTACTTAGGAGAGAAAATGCTATATTTCAGAGATTGGACTCTCTTACTGTGTTTTTCTCAGGGCAGTTCCCGAGCCGGGATTAATCATGCATCTCCCGGTGTGACTTGTTGAGTACTGTGGTTGTACTCATTCTTGCTCTATCTCCCCCCCAATTCAGTAAGAGAAGCTTTGGAGAAGAAGTCCTAGGTGAAGTCCTGGCTTATACCCTAGTTGAGCGCCTGTGAAGATGGAGCCATAGGCCCGCTAGTCCGCTGCTGTTTATTTCTGTTTGTCAAGCCTTAAGTGCCTTTGTAATAATGTAAATATTATCGATATAATAAAGATGTGCCTTTCATATCATGTTTGTGTGGTGTACCCCGACTTTTCCTGGGACGGGGATTAATACACTAGCGTTCTGGAAAAGGTATTTTTCCGGGCGCGACACGTTCGCTCGGGGGCTATTTGTATCTAACAATCTGTTCTGAGTATTGATTTCAGGAAAGTCATATTTCAGGGCTTTATCGTAGTCGAGAATGGTTGGATGACTACTCGATTATTCAAGAACGGTTGGTGGAGTTTGACAAAGATTACAGAATAAAGCGATGGTGTACACGCTGTGAATGAGTGAATATTAGAATCTGTGATATTGTTTTTCCCTTTTCATTTGTTGTTCTTGAAACATATCCAGATGATCCATTGAGCTCATCTGCTCATGTCCAGAAAACACATCTCTTAACTGTTGTTTATATGCACGGTTGATTTTTTTGGCTGCTATGTTGGACTATTGAAGCGCTGATTAATTTTTGGCTTTCTTGCTTCTGCGTTGGCTCGCGAGCTAAACGAGCTAGCTCGAGCTGGCCAACTAGCCGAGCCGAGCTAGACTTTTATTAGCATGTTAGTATAAGCTTGACCGAGCTGAGCCGAGCCGAGCCAAGCTAGCTCGGTATCCACCCCTAGTCGGGTTTATTGATACCACATACCCAATAGTAATCCACTAAGCTCGGCAGGGCCCACCATATACCAAGTCTTA